AATATGGACGTTCGGGCTCGGGTTATACTTATGAAAAGGATATGACATAATTACTTGCATTATTTAAAAAAAAAATTGATGCTTTTCCGGTGACCTTTAAGTGAATGTTTAGATATAACAGCCTATAGTTGTTCTAGTTGATATAAGAGACCTATCCACATCAAATTAAATCAGTACTTAAATATTTTACACAAATCCAGGAGGTCTTGGACCACAATATGCATAAAAATACTTAAGTATAAGATTATAAAAATTTGACATACTTCTTAAATATGTTTGACAATATTGCATGTTGGGAGCTGTTTGAACTTATAATTTACCGGTAATCACAAGGTAGTCTGCATCTTGACCTTCTCCTCATACTACTGCTTTAGCAACCCATGGTAAAGATCATTATCGGCATCCCCAGTGCTATCGTTCTATTCTAATCCACTAGGGTCCATTCACGGAGGAGACATTCAAATTATCCGCCCTTGATATTTCTGGGCCCTTATTCACAAAAACTTAAACTAAGATACAATCGAAATTTTAAGAAATACTGCAATTCGATTGGCTGACCAATATGCAAATTGATTTTACTGGTCAGCCAATCGAATTGCAGTATTTCTTAAAATTTCGATTGTATCTTAGTTTAAGTTTTTGTGAATAAGGGCCCTGCTGTTTTTATCAACCAATCGAGTGGACAGAGGAAAGTAATTCGCATTATATTGCAACTAAGATCATTTTGGTGAAAGTAAACAATGATAAACTGGGGCTTTTCATTGGTTCGTAGAAACAAGCCACAATGAAGGGCAGATAATTTGGATTTGTGAAAACTCCGTGGATGGACCCAGGTTTGTGGAATAGATCGCAACAATACCACTGGGGATACAGAGAATGGATAAAGATTGAATTATAATTGTATTATTAGATGAAAGTTTGATAAGAATCTGGAACCAATATCACTTTTGATCCTAGATTTCAATACCATAATCACAGCTCTATTTTTTGTGGGGGATAAAGTACAAAAATAATTTTTTTAATGTGAAATGTTTTCTGGGTTTCTTCAACCTGAAAAAATGGTAGACCAATGTTTTGGATCTAGGGATCTGCCCCTGGGATTTAAAAAAAGATCTGTGGTCAAAATGTGCTAGTCAATATAGTTATTGGAGTTCCATGTCATGTATGAATTAAGGCTTGATATTATGACATCAAATTATTTTTGTTCAAAATCAGGCCTCAACTCACTTGTAGTGGATAAGAGGGGAAGCTTGAGATGTCAGTCCAAAAGTAGGGTTAATATATTTAAGTATACAATGTTATATCAAAAGAACTTTTATAGATACAGGCGCTGGTCCCTTTAAATCTCACCCTATTGTGTATGGTAATTATATATAATCTTGTGTAATTTTTGTAATATACTTTAAAAACTCATTTATTATTATCTACTTTCTCATCCTGTACAGTCAAAATCAGTAAACATTGTCAAATTGTAGCTAGTATTTGTCTTCATTTAACGTTACCTGCAAGAATTTAGAGGGTTTGAGGCATCAGTAAACTTGGCTAAAGGTGTACTTTAGAACGTGTGCAATTAGCCATATTAATTCAATACCTATGGAAATGGCCCACTAGAGATCCTCCCTTCAATCCTGGTGTTTCCAGCTTGAATCCCTCTTGTTAATGGTGCAGAATGGAGAGTCAGTGTTAGCTAAAGTTATATCATAGTTAAAAATGTTTGTAACAAAGACTGCCCTGTGTCTTTTAAAATGTTAATATTTATAATGAACTGTAAAGGATTAAATTAAAAGTCTAGCCTATAGTAGATGGTGCCGGGGGGTGGCTTACTAATCAGGAGGTCCCTGATTCAATCCCAGTGTTTTTACGAGAAAGTTCCATGGGATTTTCCAACCTGGGTCAGAGTGCAAGGTGGAGGGACTGCCATGGTGTATGCTCCCCTTTGATAGCCTCATTGGTTTAGAAAAGTAAGATGGTGAACCCCATTTCATTTCTAACTCCATTGAAATTACTGTATCATTTTCAGCAGAATGTTGTTTGTAATGTTGCAAAACATTACTAAAAAGCCATGGGAACCTTGGCCTAGTAAATTGTTTGAAATAAAAAATAGGAGTTTAACTTGTTATCTACAGCTGACTATTAATTAACACTTATTATATCTTGAATTGGCAGATCAAGTCAATAACTGACACATTTGTGATGTCAATCATTATGGAAATTTCCACTGAAGATGATATTTCGAGTAAACCTATCCTGCAAATATGACATAATACTAGTACTGTATCCCAAGATATCTAGGACCTATATTTCCATAGACTGGTGGCCACTCATCATTGTTTCAAATTTGACAAGAACTAGTGAAGAAGTCACTTTTGGACATCATTTTTAGAAAACACTAAAAATTCATTAGGCTTCTTCATCTTACTCCGGTAAACAACATCCATAAGTGTAAAAATAGATGATATATGTAGTCTATTCACATGAAATCTCGAGACACACACACAATGTCTTTTTGAGACTGACATATGGTACAATTATGTTTCACTAATTTGCTAGCACATAGGGATCTTTAGCAGTAAGAAGATCCTAAGAAATCCTGCGAGGTTGGGTAGGTGATCCTACTGCTTGTCACAAACATACTTGGGATCTAAAAGGCACACACCCAAGCCCTTGGTATAAAATTGAAAGTAGGGTCGAATTTTTATTATTTACAGGAACAAATGTATCTACATACAATTCTAGGAATTTTCACCAGAGTTAGATATTAAACCAAGTATAGACAATACAAAATTTATTCATTTTACATTTCATAATTTTACAATCAAGATCTTTTTTAAAAAAATCAGTAGGACACCAAAACTATTAGATAAACTATTACATGAAAATACATGGTGCCCTTTATTTTTAATGCATTGAAATATTGCTGACACACTTTATCTTTTAAATCTTTAAATAACAAGAAAACAATTTAGGATACTGTATCTCAGGGGCCCTATTCATGAAAGTTTAAAATACAATATTTTAAAAAGACCGATACTTCACTGGCTGAGCACAAAAATCATCACATAAATATTAGCTCTTGGCCCATGAAAAGCAGCTTCCTTAAAATATTTCAGTTGAAGTTTTCTTGAATAAGGTCCCAGGATATTCATACAAACAATAATTAAAGATACATTATTCAAGAGCTAAATTTCCCTATTGCAGGTCTCTTTTAGGCCTTAAATGTTATATAAATTATTAATTAGACATTTATTAACATGACAAGATCATAATCAACTCTTGTTAAGATTAGAGTGCTTCTGCTATTTAATGATTTAATTGAAGAAAGGAGGCTAAGTCTCGAATATACCAGTACCGTGGTTACGATAATAAACAATCAATGCACACATCTTGTCAAAATTACAAACAATGATGAATGGGATCAGAATGAATTAATTGAAATGAAATTTTCAATAAATTAATTTTTAAAAATAATTAATTTAAATGAAATTTTCAATAAATTAATTTAAATGAAATTTTCAATATATTAATTTAAATGAAATTTTCAATATATTAATTTTGCATTATCTATTTTTGAACTATTATAGCAAGGACGGCCAGTTCTTTATCTAAATCTTACATAATGTATCTTTAATGCTTTAAATCACTAGTCACATTATTCCAATTATGCATTTTTTTTTTCTCTAACATAACAAAAAAGTATTTATGCCATCCTCGAATATCAGTAGTAAAACTGTAGTAATGTTAAACTTTACGCCCCTCAAAAGATTAAACCCTACACACCAGACTCGAGAATAAACCTTAGAATGTAAAGCGCAGTTCCTTTACCACAAGACCGCCATCTCCTCATTTTAAAAAGGCTAAGATACATGTACGGCCGGTTACAGTTATTTCAGTATGCATTCCTGTCAGCTCCCTCCTTTTACTATGGTGGTTCATTGAGTATATGGTGCTTGCACTGAAGCTGGCTCACTAACTAGGTCAAGGGTTGGATCCGTGTAATGACAAAGAACATTATTCAGGATTTGCAAGTCTAGCAAGTCAAAGTCATTTGGGTGGAACAAAAAAAAAATGAGGTAAATCCAGGTAAAATGCATGTAAAAGAACCCCTGTTTTCATTAGCATTGTTGGTGCATAGAAAGAAGCAAGACATTAAACCCCATTTCATTACAATTTTATCAACTATGTAAGTATAATTACTGAGAAAATAGTTAAACTATGACATAACATGTAGGCTTATGCATACACGTGGAATGCCAGCTCCCTTCTGGTTGCTTCAATTTTATAACCAATTAACTTAAAACCGAATTTGAATTTACGGAATACAAATACAAAAACATCAAAGTAAATTGCATTCCATATGATAGTGTCAGTTACTAAATCCCTTTAAAGCAACACATTAACTTCTTTACTTGAATTCAGTATGTTAAAAACAAACAAAATGATTGCAAAAAGACAGAGGTTTCAAACTCAAACATTAAACCTTGTACAAGTTAAAATAAATATTAAAAAGATTTCAGTTACTGAGATAAAGCCAATGATCATCATTTGCATTTTTCAGACAAAACTTTATTTTTCATGGCTTAATCCAGACTAAAATGCACTAAAATTGATTATTCAACATTTAATAAAGAAAACAGAATCAAAGTATCAAGGGTAAACGATCTGACGGCTTTGATTCAATTGGATTAAATAGAGACCCATTCAAGGATTTTATCCAACAATTATATACATTATAGGTGGTTCAGACAATTGTATATACCGGTATACTGCAGCTGACATTACAGGATTTTCAATTCATGTTATCTTTGTAAATACATGTACATGTATACCGACCAGAATTAAAGATCACCAGAAAAGCTTCATAAATTTTTTAAATAATGCAAGTAATTATGTCAACCTATCCTTTCCATAAGTATACCACAATCCTGAATGTCAATGTTACTTGCCACAGGTAAATTTCAACCATAGCAATTTCCGCCGTTCTCTGTGAGTAGTTGCAACTTTCCGCCAATAAACAAGCTGTGACATAATTTTATTCCTTTTGCTCATAGAAATATAGACTAGAATATGAGCAGAAGGACTAAAATTACGTCATGCCTTGTATACTGGCGGAAAATTACAACTACTCACAGAGAACAGCGGAAATCTACCTGTTGAAATTTACCAGTGGCAGGTAACAGGGAGAGGGGTTTTACATACATTAAGCCTGTTCCCTAATCCCATTCAGACAACCTGAAACAAAAAAACATTGACATTCAGGATTGTAATTTACTTATAGAAAGGATATGTTGACATAATTCCTTGCATTATTTAAAACAATTATGAAGCTTTTCCAGTGACCTTTAAATCATTTTTGGACTGATATTTCTTTTAGAGATTCACCTTTCATAAGATTATAGTTTGCAAGAATCCCCCAAATGACCATCAGCGACTTTAATTCATTATTGATAAAAGAACCTATTCATCATTCACTTGATGTTTTCTCCAGGTGATTTCTTTTTGTGTGATATTTATAGGCTGTAGCAGTTTTAAATCTCTTAAGACACACACCACACTGATAAGGTTCTACATTAAAATGTCCGCGAAGATGAAGATTTAAATTTCGTTTTGTTGAAAAACATTTGTCACATTCTGAACACTTAAAGGGCTTTAGTCCAGAATGTATCCTCTGCATGTGCTCATTCAAATAATCTTTCTTCGCAAACTTATGATCACACTGCTCGCACTTAAATGGTTTCAGTCCCAAATGAAGGTAAAGATGTTCTTTAAGAAAAACTTTATCTTTTAAAACCATTCCACAAATATGACATTTAATGCATTTTTTAACATCTACAGGTTTTACTCGGCGCTGGGGAATCTGAATAACTCTTTTAGGGCCAGTTTGACTAAGATTAAACACATTTTCCTCAGAATTCGCCCAATTTAACATAGCCTTTATGTGTTCAGGAGAGATCGTGCTCGATGATTCTGCAGTTTGGAATTGTTCCCTTAACATCGGAGTTGGACCAGCCGATGCAGACGGTCCTGGAATTCCTTCTGAATCGTGATTATCAATGCTTTCAGTTTTAATGTGGGATAAATCCATTCTTGAAGTAGCAGATTTAGAAAAATTATTCATATTAATTTCCATACAGTCTGATTCAATAGCTGTGTCTGCAGTTTTGGCGCTTGCACCTCCTTGCTGAAATCTTACTGAACAATTGTCATCAATAGAATTATCAAGCTCACAAGAATAATTAGATGATCCTTCTTCAATTTTTATATCTGTTGTCAATGGATCCAGAATTATTGCTAAGGCATCACAGGGTTTTGTTTTTGGACAAAGAAGTTGATTAGGAGCACCACCTCCCTTGGAACTCCCGGCTGGGTGGGTATCTGCACCAACAACTTTTGGATGAACCATCATATGAAAAGTTAAAGCACTTTGTAAGATGAATTCTGTGTTACATATTTTGCATTTATAGTTCTTCTGACCTGGGTGATTAAGTGACATGTGAGCATAAAAATCTTCTTCAGAATCAAAGTTTATCCAACACAACTTACAGCTGACATCTTCAGTACCTGAAGCTGAGGTTGTTTGCAAAACTTCAGAAGAAGCTGTGTCTTCCTCTGATGACTGGTGAAAATCAGACAACAGACCAGATTCACAATCAGATGTAGTTGTACGAACTCCTGCCAACCCTTGCTGGCTGCTAGATGTTGAAGACGGTTGCTGACTGTTAGGTGCTGGGTACCCTTGCTTGCTGCCAGGAGTTGAAGAAGGGAAACTTCTTCCCAAAGAGCTTTTAGACAAATTGAGAGTATTTCTAGGTACTGATATCAGAGCTCCTGTATTGAATAGTAACTTGGATGGTTTCGAAGATCGTCCATTCATCATTGATACAGCCTGTTGGTGGGTGAATGGACCTGGAGCAAAACCTGGCCCATGCAACTCTGAAGAATTTATGGAATATGCATTAGGGGTTACTCCAAGACTATTCTTTACTATCAAGTTGGCAATACGCTTTCTATTAATTGTTTTCTGACGTTTCTCTTGCTGTGTTAATCGAGGTAACGAGCTGGAAGGCAATTTTAAATGCATGGAACCAGACATTGTTGGCTCTTCAGACTTGTCTTCGTTGGAACTTGATGCACCTGATATTTCATCAAATGCTTTGTTACCAATTGTTTCTGTCAATTTATCAAAGTCAATATAGTCCTTAGTGCATCTTTTCGTAAAATGGTCTTTGGCGCGTCTTTTTGGTGCTGGTTTGAATCCCTCCTTACCACATTGTAAAACAGGTTGGGATGTTGGTCTGATGTCCCCTGAAGGTGATTCTAGCAGAGTGGTCACGATTGTAGCATCTCTATGAAGTGATTCAATATGTCGTGTGATGTAATGCTTATACAAGAACTCCTCAGAACAGATGGGGCATTTGTAAGGATGCTGCTTATGAAGTTTAAAATGTTTGTTTAATTCATGTATATCTTTGACACCATTGTGACAAAATTCACAGATCAGAGCAGCCTGTTCACTGGACTTTTCTGTTGGCAAAAATGGGGCTTTTTCTCCTTCCTTCAACATGAAGTCTTCAGCATTGTGTCTCTTATCTGCTGGATAATAAATGACTCTAGTCATGGGATCTTTTGGATGATGTGTCTCAACATGGTTAACAGCGTTTGTTCTCTGTGTAAATACTGATTTACATTTAGAACACTTGTATGGTTTACGGCCAAAATGTACCCTGACATGAAGCAAGAGATTGCGTGTTTCGCGGAAACCTTTGCCACAAAATTTACACATGAATTTTCCCTGGGCAGCATGACAACGACTTTTATGCGCCTTAATGTACACCTCTCGTGCAAATTCCTTGAAACAAATATCACATTTTAACATCTTTCCTGTCATATGGTTATCCATATGGCGCTCATAATTTTCTTTGTTAACAAATGTAAATCTACAGATCGCACAAAATAAATTGCCTCTATGGTTGAAGATGGAAGTGAATGTTGGTATACTTTGAGTTTCACCTGAATCATCCAGGGACTGGCCAGAAACCTTCACATCATTTGAAGACTTGGCAAAAACATTGCAAATATCCACCGTTTCATTTTTCCTTAATATTTTCAAGCATTCATGGGTTAAAAAATCTCCTGCAGAGAGGAAGTTTATCGTACATGTGCGACATTCTATTACCATTGATTTGTCCATATGTTCTACGAAATGGCCTTGTCGTGCAACGACTGAAAGAGTTTCCTTGCCACATACTGCACAAGAATTTGCTTTCTGTCTGATATGATAGGCGGCATGATTTATTAACTCATATTGTTGTGAAAAAGGTTTACAACATAGATAACAACTATAAAGTTGCTCCTTCGAATCACATCGATTAATTTCTACACACAAATATCTTATTTTTAAAACATCTTGCTCGCAATTATCACAAACTTGATAATATTCTGCATCACCTTCAGAAAACAAATGACGACCTTTGACCTTATCGAACTGAGTTAGTTTCAAACAGATGTCACATTTAATTTTATAATTACCCGTTTGTGGCATCAACTGTGATACGTGTGGATTAAAACCTGCCGACTTTTGTAAAAACGATTTTGACAAACCCAGATCACAATCTGATTCTGAAACAGATTCTGTATCAGAATTGTAGTCTTCCTCATTTGATGATACTTTAAATTTCCCTTCAAGGAGCTTGATTTTAACATTCTGCAATGCTTCCATCTCATCTTCTGTGTATTTGCGGTTATTCTTCCGGCAAGATTTCAGCCGGGCACGGTTTCTGTCGACGTAGTCCGTTATAGAATCTAAAACTGATGTACTTTTTGGAAAACAGGAGAGTAATGCATCATCTACTCTTGGTATAATGTCTGGTATTGCAAGGTGCTTGTTGCATCGCTTAGTTGCTTGTCGAAGTGTGTGATCATCTGCTAGATTGTCTGTCGCTTTTGCTCCAGTGCTATCGCCAGGTAAAACTTTATTTGATATAAAAGTTGACGCAGTGACGTTGATATTATATCCAGGGAATGTTTTAGCAGAAATCTGCACAGGTTCGACTTTGATGTTGTCTAGAAATTTTTTCATGGCTTGGGAAGATGAGTCTTCAATTTTATTCTGGGAATTTGACACTGATGTACTTGTCGCACTCTCAATTTGTTCAGTCGCGTGATTCTTAGAATTGTAATCTTCATTATTAGGTTCAATTTTCATATCTAAAATTAAACTATCTGGATTTTCGATTGGTTCCTTTTTTATATTCTGAACATCCATCATTGGTTGATCATCAACCTCACGACTAGTGGATGGCTGTGGACTCTCAATTTGTTCAGTCACATCACTATCAGAGTTATAATCTTCATTAGGTTCAATTTTGATATCTAAAATTAAACTATCTGGATTTTCAATTGGTTCCTTTTTTATATTCTGAACATCCATCATTAGTTGCTTGATGATATTAACCTCTCGACTAGTGGATGGCTGTGGACTAATGGTTTCAGCATTTGATGATACAGAATCAGTGGATATGGTACCAGCGGTACCACCAGATTGCTTATTTAATAATGCCTTTAGAGTTTTGTCATTAACATCATCCCCTGGGCTACTTATCAGTTTGCTTAACTGTTCCCTTTTGATATCATTCACGGCTGTGTTTGTTGATATATTTGAGTTGATCAACTGTTCTGGTTGATCAACAGCTATGTTATTATGTTCAGATTGTTCTGAGGGGCTGCTACTGGATCCTGTTCCATTACAAATCAAGCTTTTCACAAGAGAAGATGCCCATTTATCATCATATTTAGCAGTTCTATAAGATACCTCTGAATCTACACAATTAAAGTTTTTCACCAGAAGTAATGGTCTTGGTGGTCCTGTATCGACGGGTGGAGTTGTTGTTGTTTCAGGTACTTCCTCATAGTACTTCCTTTCCACAATGTTTTTTGGTTTTGGTGATACAAGCACTACTTTTTTGCCATTCTCACTTCCAACAATCTTTGTCATCGTAGTGCTTCTCTCGCAGCCCGTCATACTCGCTTTATGTGCCATATAATTGGAGCGTTGAGCGAACGCTCGATGACAAGTTGAACATTTATATGGTTTTTCACCAGTATGAATTCTCATGTGTAGACGTAAATTTCTAGTTTGGGCAAAAGCCTTCGGGCAAATTGGACACACATGTGGACGTGATTGGCAGTGGATTCGCTGTTTATGTTCACGAAGATATCCTCCTCTTGCAAAAACTTTATCACATTCATCGCACTTAAAGGTTTCAGTGTTTTTATGATAAGCCATGTGACTTTTCATATTAGCTTCTGAAGAAAATTCACTTCCACACAGCGAACACCATAATATCTTTGGTTTTTGTATTCTTGTTTTAAATCTAGGTAAAAGATCAAAGTCAATCTCTCTATATTTCTTTTTATTAATGTCTGTCACTTCTTGAATTGTGTATTTTACAGAGCGCTTTTTTTCAGGCGGAATTATTGGCTGATTTTTTATAGATTTTAGAAGATCAGGATCCATTGTTACGCTGTCCGATCCTCGCGATTGTGTCGTCAAGTATGAAGACATCTCTATATCAGTTGATTCGACAAATGTCGAACCTGCATCCATTTTTTAATTTTCTGGCTGCCTTTTCACTCCACATAAACTTATGTCATTCTCTTTAGTTTCATCGTTGTCTTTCCTCTTCTGAAATTACATTAATGTATAGATATTTATTAAAGAATGCATAATTTTTGTCATGTGGGGTGGAAGAATCAAACCCCTCCCATTATAAATAAACCCACCACCAGCAAAATCAAGCTAAGATTTGTTAAACACTAGGAATTTAATGCCTATCAGTGTTGATTACTGTTATATAAACCTGGAAAACAAGCTGTTGGCATTTCCATCACAGTATTACAGTAAGTAGAATTAGGTATGGAAGCCAATACTTTCCCCTTTGCCACATGCAAAATAAAGCCATTTCGTTCTCTCATGGTACCGTACTGAAATTTCAGAGTTAAAATTTGTACTGAAATTTCAGAGTTAAAAATTGTCTGCAAAAACCATGTCAAAACACCTGAAATGGTGAAGGCTTTGGCAGCCGCGGATCTAGGATTTTTAGCATGGGGGGGGGGGGTCTAGGTGGGATAATTGCTTAACTAATTGCGGTGGGCTATCACCGCCGCGAGCGCTGAAAGCGCTTAACGTTGTAACGGGGGGTCAAGAGGCCCTCCCCCAGAAAAATTTGGTAAATTAGATTCAATTTGGTGCATTCTGACGTATTTCCTGAGGGTAAATTCCAAAATTACAGGTCTAAAAATCGCAAATAAAATCGCATAAAATGTCCTTAAAATGTTGATGGAGAATGCTCCCATCACAGGTGAGGAACAAAATATCTTCAGATACCATATTATGGTTGTTCTTAACAAGCTTTATTAGCAGTATCAATTTACTATTAGAGTAACCAGTCCATTTAAGTATAGGAAAGTTGGTCGGGGTTTTCCAGAGCACAAACTTTCACAGACGAAAAGTCTATAGACTTGGTTTATTGTTTTTACTTTCAGCGCATAAAAATAAATAATATAGCTTGCAATAGTTGCTTGGTGTACGAGAAAAAGGAGAAACGAAAGGAAGGGAATTCGACGGTTAGGATGCTTGACAATTAGGCTAATTAAATAAATCGATTGATGATGAATTTAGTTTATTGTTAATCTCTAATTACCCGATTTTAAACACACATGGGGTTACGTCTCACGCAGCAATTGTTTTAAATGTGCGTATAAAAAAGTCTTACGAATGACGACCTGTCGGAAGTATTTTACCTGCACTCTCGATCGCTGTAGTAGGCCTACCTTCCACTGTTTCGCGATAAGGGTATGTTCCAAGTTCACCTAATAAGACATTTTCTAAAGGTATAATAATAATAATAATAATAATAATAATTAAATAATAATAATAATAATAATTAAATAATAATAATAATAATAATTAAATAATAATAATAATAATAAAACAAAAGCGGTGAATATGTTATGTATCAAATTTTTAAAAAATCTTATAAATTTCGCTAGCATATTTTTTAAAAAAATTTTTAAATTTGATAAAATAAATGACCAGGTTTTTTTTTCTTATCATCGCTGCCGATAAAATTAAAAAGCAAACAACAATATTCAACGTCAACAGGCGAACAGCGTTAATAAAACTCTTTAAATTTCAATAAACTTATATTTTCATACAGTACGGTATTAAAAAATTGCCGTCGTGAATAGGCGATTTGCTGTGGGGTCAATTAGTCCCGACGGCAATTTATGCTGTCGACGTTTTTGGCTAATTGCCAGAGCTGTATGTGACTATTTGTTTTTGCCCACAATGGAATGAAAGTCATGACTCAACTCAATGTATACAAACTCGCAATTTTTGTGTCAGATTCAGGCTTTTAAATTTAAGTTTCTCGGACCCTTCAAATTTTCAAGCCTGAGCAGGGGGGGGGGGGGGGGGTCGGGACCCGCCTCTGGATCCGCGCCTGTTTGGCGTCAGTAATTGGGTCCCTTAAATTATTTTTGCTACCCTATGCCTATACTAAAAACCTTTTCATTAATTGCTATGTTATTATTTCTCTTCTTTTTTGGGGGGTAATGATCAAGTTTAAATTGCTTAATGACCCTCGTACAATTGCAAAACTATTGTATATTCAGCCACTACGTTGTATATTTGATACAATGTTAATTATAAATCACACATGCTGTGCACTGTATGGCTGACAACATTAATCTAGGTCATTCGGTAAAGCTGTGTAATGCTCTATAGACCAACTGAACTAAACCTTTGCCTCGTCCTTTTAACATGAGCTTTGATCACTTAACTTGAAATTAATATTAATTATCATTTGGTCATGAGCGGGGCTATTCCTTTCGTGTGTCAATCAAATAATACTTTACTGTTTTATTTTTGTGTATTCGGAAGAAAAAATGGCGATACACGTACGAACCAACAGGAAGAAAACCCCGCAATACACAAAGTTATAGACATGCTATCTCCACTAGTGACACGTTTATGTCTTCAGTTTATGACTAAGGTGTATCAGCATATTATACCATTTGAGTTTACTTACATTTAAAAATCCGATCTGTGTAGTTTTAACAGAACGACGGTTATTTCATTACTATAGACGAAATGCAGTACATACAAGTACGAGTGTGTATTCTTTCTTTGTCTTCCAGTCCCCAATTGATGGGCCCACGAATCAACGTTTCAGGGGAGAGAAATCCATTTAATTTGAAAACATAATTAAAAGAAATAATAAAAGTGTGAATTGTAATAAAATAAACTAAACTAAAGAGTAAAACCATTCAAAGGGAAAAGCTATGGATCACTGTACTCACCCTGGATACAACAGCAGACACAAGAAAGGGTGACATGCATAAATTAGTCAAATTATCAATTTTGTAATTACCTCCCCTAGACAATAAATGTGACAAGAAAACTAAAATGTATGGTAGAGGCTGTATAGGAAAGTCCTATAATATTGAGTATTTGACTAAAAATAATTTGAGAAACTGGACATTCCCAGGACTTACGTGGGTAAGCTTTCGTTATATTTCATATAAGTAATTCCATTCTGCATCTTTCTGTATTAATCTAAATATGACCATTTCCGGTTGCAGCATTCTCGAGTCGAAGCCAAAATGGTGAGAAAAATATTTAATGGCTGACGAGAATGTTTAGACATACTGTTCAGTGATAGGTCAAAGGACTACTTATATTATAAGCTGGATTTTATTTGCAAAATTGAAATGGAACTCTTGCATTTTAATATCTTACAAACTAGAACTGAAAATACAAAACCAGAGTGAGAGAAAAATGACCAAGATTAAAAAAAAAAAAAACAAGTGTCAAACCAACATTTTTAATTTATAGCACACAATCTGTATTACTATTAGCCTACACAGTCACAGTGACTTAGTGGACAGTGATGCAGGACGGGGGGGGGGGCAGACAAGGACCTTGGTGTGCACATAAAAGTTCCCTTGACAGTTGTAATTTAATATAAGAGTATCCCTCATAGCACACTGTATGGTATGGCGTATGCCCATCGTCATTAGCCCAGTCGGAGCAGAACAGTAGGACGTTAAATCCCATTTCATTTAATTTTTATGCACCCACATTTTCATGTGATTGTATATTGTTGTCACCCCTGTCTGTCCACAATTGTTTGTGAACACTCTAGAGGTCACAATTTTTATCCAATTTCAACGAAACTTGAAATATAGGTTTGTCACCTTAAGATCTTGGTTCCTTTCGATATAGGCATGTATCTGACTGTAACTTCATGGATTATGGCCCTTGATTGTACAAAAAATCACGTTTTTAGCTTGTGAACACTGTAGAGGTCACAATTTTTATCCGATTTGGTTTAAACTTGAAATATATGTTTATAACCCAAAGATCTCAGTTCCTTTCGATATTCGTGCATATCAGACCATAACTTCCTGAATTATGGCCCCTGATTGTTCAAAAAATCGCGTTTTTAGCTTGTGGACCCTATGGCGGTCATACTTCTTATCCGATTTAAAAAAACGTTTGAATATATATACCCTAAGGATGGTTGAGCTTGAATTTCGTAAAAATTGAACCAAAACTGACAGACAAAATGTCCACGCCTTGTAGTCAAATAGCGTAAAAATATGGTATATCAATGTTGTGGACCCTGTAGAAGTCACAATTTTATTGAAACTTGAAATGCATGTTTATAACCCAAAGATCTTGGTTGCTTTCGATATTCGTGCATATCGGATCATAACTTGCTAAATTATGGCCCCTGATTGTACGAAAAATGGCGTTTTTAGCTTGGGGTCACTCTAGAGGTCACAATTATTATCCAATTTAAAACACCGTTTGAATATATCACCGTTACACTGTAATGAAAGTTGAGTTTGAATTTCGTGAAAATTGGACCAAAACTGCCAGACAAAATGGCTGCCCCTTGTACGCAAATAGTGTAAACATCTGGTATATTAAGGTTGTGGACCCTCTGGTGCTCACAATTTTGGGCCGATTTTGATGAAACTTGCAATGCATTTTTATAACCCAAAGATCTTGGCTGCTTTCGATATTCGTGCAAATCGGATCTTAACTTCCTGATTGTACGAAAAATCGTGTTTTTAGCTTGTGGTCCCTCTAGAGGTCACAATTATTAACCGATTTAAAAAAACGTTGAAATATATCACCGTTACACCATTATGATGGCTGAGTTCGAATTTCGTGGATATCGGACTAAAACTGCCGGACAAAATGGTCGCCTCTTGCACGCAAATAGTGTAAATATATGGTATATCTGGAGTCCACAATTTTGATCTGATTTTGATGAAACTTGAAATACATATTTATAACCCAAAGATCTTGGTTTCTTTCGATATTCGCGCATATTGGATCGTAACTTCCTGAATTATGGCCCTTGATTGTACGAAAAGTCGCGTTTTTAGGATGTGATCCCTCTAGATGACACAATTTTTATCCGATTTAAAAAAACGTTTGAATATATCACTGTTACACCCTTAAGATGGTGGAGTCCTAATATCGTACAAATTGGACCAAAACTGCCTTACAAAATGGCTGCCCCTCGTACGAAATATTGTAAATATATGGTATATCAACCTATATGAACCATATATCAACATATATGGTATATGGACCCTCTAGAGAGAGGACACAATTTTGATCCGATTTTGATGAAACTTGAAATACATGTTTATAACCCAAAGATCTTGGTTCCTTTCAATATTCATGCATATCGGATCGTAACTTCCTGAATTATGGCCCTTGATTGTACGAAAAATCACTTCTTTTTTTGAGCTTATTCTCTGTCCATCTCTTGCAAAATGGGGGCATATCTTGCATGGCAACCGCTTGTTTCTATTAAATGGTGATGTTATCTTACATTGAAAATATGGGCTTCTGATATCAAATGTGAAAACCAGTAGATCTACACACTGACGTTTGCTCTATACCCAAGAGCATGATTTGAAATGCCAAACAGTACTTCTGATGTAGACTGGATTAACCAGGTCCGAGCACTTGCCATTTAATTTGGACTGCTTGCATATTTCAACAAATAAAACTTACTAGAAATTACAATGAAAGTTTTATAAAATTAATGTAAACCGGTTTATTAATATGTGATTTTTGACCCATTTTTGTCCATTTTCAATTCCAAAAAATAACCTTACAATTAGAATATCATATGCAAGTGACTTGATTTTTTTCCTTCAGTTTTGTGTTGAAACAATATTCAGAGACAACTACCCCAGAAACCACTAATTAAATGGGCCTTACCTTAATGATAGAATGAAGTAAACACAAATGTTTGGATTATATAACCATATTTTTTATTTCCAGTATTTAAATTAAAGAAGGGGAGGCTTTTTGGTGTCCAATATAACAGGTACTGTTCTAAAGCATAACTTCCAGTTTTCCACCCAGTTGTATGAATAATGAAATTAGATTTATTATGTTATATTCTATATATTTCAGATGAAACAAGTTTGTTACTTGATGTGAACACTGGAAAATCTAGACTACAATATGTGACCACTTATTCCAGACCCTGATAGAATCAAATTGGGTAAAGTTTTTACAATGGAGGACACATTTTTCTCCATACCACCTCTTTATGAAGGTGACACAGAAGAAGGAGAAATGAACCAAAACACTACTAACGATGTACGTGACATGAACAGTGTTGGTCGTCACTCTGTTGATTACAAAAATAGTTTACAGTTTAGAAACACGGACAATATTATGAACAGTGTTACTTCCACAAGTTGCCATGGTAACATGAATAATGAATTTGTCAACCCTCCTCCAGCTAATAATTGCCATGCCAGAATTTCTGATGTTCACATCACCGATTCATTGAACAATAAGGGAGATAACCCTGATAATGGCAGAACAGCAATTATATTACAAAGCCCAACAAGCCAACAAAATACACACAATGTTCAAATGAAGTGTGTACAGAATCAGCTAGAAAATGAAACCAGCGTTCAGGATGAGAAATTAGTAGATATGTCTGATATTAGTGCCTACACTAAAAAAATGGTGGAAAATGCCCTGAGCCAATCAGAAACAACAGATTCTTCTAATTCGATGTCATATGCACGACAAGAAAAAATGTCAAAAGTTGAGAAAACCAACAAAGGATATTCGGTCAGCTCGTCATCGTCAGCCAAGCCTAATTCCACAAGAAAGTCAGATGAGTTAAAGTCTATGAAGGAAACAAATCTGGATGAAGCAGTGAGACGAGAGACGACCAAAGTGACTGGATCAGACGATGTAACCCTTAAAACGTGCATTCGATGTAAAGCCATGTTTACTAATATAACAGATGAAGGTGTAGCCTTGTCTAAAGATGACAATTTCACCTGTCGGTCGTGCACAGAAAGTTCTGCTGAAGATTGTGCCGTAGGGGACTTTCGCGTTGATTTGAAATATGGAGACAAAACTAATAAATTGAATATGGGTGAAAAACTAAATAAAAATGTTGGTATAAAAATATTAGGGTTAGAAAAATCGAATGAAGGGGATTTAGTATTTGAAATAACGTATGGAAAAAAGACTGAAAAAATCAGTATTTCTCAAGATGATTTGGTGAGTGGTGAAATGACGATAAAATTTAAAACAGAGAAGCAGATAATCAGACCATTTATTCCTGCTAATGTACAGCAGTTTCCATGTTCTGATTGTGGTGATTCTTTTCGTGAAACGCGTACATTAGCCAATCACAAACTAACACATCCATGCATTAAACCCTGGGTGTGTTTAGATTGTGGCAAGGAATTCAAATACAAAAACCTAATGCTACGTCATAAATTATCTCACACAGACATCAAAGACCATGTCTGTAATGTATGCAATAAAGCTTTCCGAACAAAAGCAAACTTAAAACGTCATAGACTAGGTGCTCACAAAGATGCTGTGACAGAAACAAAGACGGAACCTGTGGAAGCGTCAGAAGACATGGAATCAACAGTTAATGAGATTCCGACAGTGGTAAAAACCCGAAAACGGAAAGTAAGTGTGGAATATGATGTTGATAGCGGAAGTGCCGAAGCTCCAGATGATGAAGATGATGACTATTATGAGGAGACTGATGACAAACCATCTCGTCGTAATTCTAGTCCAAGAGCGACTCCAAGTAAGATTCGCTACAATTGTAAGATGTGCGAGAAGGGCTTTACGAACAAGAGCAAATGGAAACGTCACGAATTATATCATTTTCAGATGAGAATGCCAGTGTGTGAAATATGTGAACGTTCATTCGTGGATAAAGATTATCTCATGGAACACATCCGCACACACGAGGATAAATTCGCGGATTATATCTGTAAAATATGCGGCATGGAATTCCCTTTCACAGATGAGTTGCAACACCATGTGGAAGGACATTCCAGTCCGGATGAAAGCACGGTTAATAATTCAGACCTCCAAACAAATTTAACTCAAAATGGCAGTGGTTCACACAACTGTGACGAATGCAACAAAAGTTTCCGATCCAACTATATATTACAGCGCCATCTGGTCACCCATAATCGTGCGACGTGCCAGTGTCAGGAGTGTGGCAAGTTTTATTCTTGTCGCTACAATCTTGCCCAGCATATGATGATACACAACACCCATAGTCAGTACATATGTGATCAGTGTGGAGAATCGTTCAAAGTTAAACAATATCTCAGTCGTCATATGATCAAACATCGAGAACAGAAAACGTGGGCGTGTAATTTATGCGATTTAAAGTTTTATCGTCAAGGTAACCTCCGTCATCACATGAAACAACATGTGGAGGAGAAACCCTTCCAATGTACACACTGTCAGAAAGCTTTCGTACGTGAAAAAACATTAGAGGAGCATATCTTATTGACTCACACAAAAGAACGTCCATTTCAATGTCCAGTTTGTGGGCGTGGTTTCGGTTTACGAAGAATGATCAAACCACATATGAAAATTCATTCGGGTTACAAGGAACATAAGTGTGACGAATGCGGGAAATTATTTACGTATAAATCTAACCTCAACCAACACATGATGGTGCATAGCGGGGAAAAACCCTTTATATGTCAGTATTGTGGTAAAGGTTTCGCGCGCAGTAAATATTTAAATGATCATATGAGAACACATGCGATAACTGTACCTAATTTACCTGATATATCAATAACTACCATACCCTTACAATAATCACCTTATGATAAACTGTCATACCTAGTCAATCAGTGTCATTTCACAACTATAATTGAAATGGGGATTCTCTGTGCCCACTGAGTGATGGAAGGCAGTATGAACACCATGCTGTGTTCTATGAGGAAAATTTTGCCAGAATAGCATCATTCTTGTTTACTGTTCATTGGATTCCAACTGCCAAAGGTTTGGTTTAAGCGAACTTAGCGTTAGCTATCACCTGTATATCGCAAACCAAAAATGAGTAAAGCACTTAATTATCTACACTAGGGCTTTCATTTACATTTTGCAAGACGGCCAAGTTTTGTAGTATTTTGTTTATGAATATGACATTTATCCCATTTTGAAATGACAAGTGTTTCACACAAAAAAACTTTGAATTGAATGGTATTTATTATGTTTTTAGGTTAAAATCTATGAAATACTAATTGTGTGGCATGTTATTTAACTAATAGGAAATTCTCCAGTCATTTTCAGTATTCTTCAGTCATTTTCACTATTTCCCAGTCATTTTCCCACTCATTTAAGATCAGCAAAGACGACTAAAATGAGAACCCTATTCAATCTCAGCTCGCAACAACAAAATAGATTTTAACTTTTAAAAGTTAAAGATGCATTATGTAAGATTGAGATAAAAAGCTGGCCGTTCTTGCTATAATAGTTCAAAAATAGATAATGAAAATATTGAAAGTTTCAGTCAAATTACTTTATTCTTAGCAAAGTGACTGGTGTTTGAAATTTTGACAATAAAGTCTTGATTGTCAATTACCATTGCCGTGATAATAAACAGTCTCAGTTATATATTTTTAAGTTAAATTATTAAATGGCAACAGTGTTTTAATCAATTCAATATCACAACAATCGGATGGTCTAGAGAGTTGAATACAGCCTTGTGATGTGAATAAATGCCTAATTTATCAGTTATAAAACATATGAAACCCCCAAAATGACCTACTTAAAACAGATTTAACTCTTTTATAATACATCTTTAAAATGTCTTTATGCTAGTAGGAATAATTTTTGGTCATATACCATATTAATTGTTTAAAATAGAAATATTAATGGTTTGACCTTTTAGCACTTGGACTGCCCAAAAATACTGCCAAAGTCACCTATTTATTGACTGTATATTACTAGTTCTGTGATTGGATTGTGTAAGGATGAGTCTCAAGAACAGAAGTTTTGAATATTAGCTACAAAACTTAATGTAAAAACACAGGAACAGAAGTTTAGAATATTACCTACAAAACTGTACATACAAGTAAAGGCTAATTTAAGAAACTGACATAAAAATTACCTAACGGTAGGTAAAAATTTGGGTTGTGTAAAAAAAATAAAAGATCTCATAAGGAGGTGATTATGTTTACTGGTAGCATGTAATTTAATAATTGTATACATTTATTACAGGTATTTACATTGTATATGGTGAATACATGTACATGTATCTATAATCTATTGTTAAAGGATTTAACATCGGTGTATAATACATACAGCGATAGGCGCAGTGGGGTTGGGGTGGGGCTCTCCCATCACCCCAAGGAACAAAAGGCTCTAATTTAGAGCAGGCCCATATCTGGATCTGCCACTGTACACATATACGTACATCGTAGACAACTTAATTATAATACTCCTTTATTGTTGAAATTAAAGCTGGATGGTACATTTAAAAACAAACTGTCTTACATTTTAAAGATGCATTATGTACGATTTAGATAAAGAGCTAGCCATTCTTTCTAAAGTAGTTCAAAAACAGATAATGAGTAATGAATATATTGAAAATTTCAGTCCAATTACTTTTGTCTGAGCAAATTTATCAGTGTTTGAAGTTTTGATAAGATGTAGCATTTTTAGTCTTGATTGTCAAACAAGTTTCATTGCTACGATCATAAAGAATGTCTTGATTATCCATTAGAGCGGTTGTTCTAATCAGTTTAATATCTTGTCCATCTGATAGCCTAGATTATGGTCTTGTTATGTGAATAAATGTCTAAATAATTTGAATCAGGGGCGTGCTGGCAGGGAGTTTAGGAGGACGGTGTCCTCCCAGGCCCCCATTAAACAATAAGTCCACCCGTATAAGCGGGCCCCCCTGAGAGCTCTAATTTTCACGCGGAATCCCCTCAAAAAATTGAGAGTGCGCACGCGAAAAATCATACGTACACAACGATTAGTAAAATATATTACGCTGACGTGCAAATGCCTGTCACCTTAAGGTGAAATGGTCTTTGATACATGTATTCATGCCTCGATATGTATAAGATGCAATTTATTATTTGGATAGAAATACATTGTATTAGCATTATATTAAGCAGACCTGTCATGAGTGTCTTGTGTAGTACAGTAGTATGTCTTATAGTCAAAATAGCAGCATAAATTTTGAAAATATGATACCTAGATTTCTCCCAGAAGTGCTTGCAAAACACGTTTCCCGTTGTCAAATTTTGAAAATTTTCAGGGGGGAGAACCACCAGACCCCCCTACCAGCGGCGCGCCTTCGGCGATCCCGGGCCCCTTCGGGGCCAGCACGCCCCTGATTTGAATAACATATAAAGCTAGAAAAAAGACCAGCAATATGCAGATTTAGCTCTTGCATAATGCATCTTTATGTAAATTCTTCCTTTTTTTTTCCTTTGAAAATATAACTGCCATATCTACATCCATTCTGATTCTAGTTTTTGACCATATCAGGTCATCAGCTTAGATAGGTGTGTTGTGATTGTATGCCAACTTTTATTAAATAATCTAAGTAGATTGTTGTTTTATTATAGCTATTTTGGGTGTTAATGAGTTTACTATTGAAAGTAGTTGTATATTGATGAAGAAATATTATTTATTATATATTAATCAAGTATACTGGTACTAATGAATACCATACCTAATATTATTTATTACATTATGTATACCAAATATTTTTAAAACTAATTCTGAATTACTTTAAAGCATTTAGTAATTGGACTTATTAAAAGTACAAATTTATGGATACACTATTACTGAATTTATAACGAGGATACTTCATAAAACGTGCTTGTGATTATATAATGAGAGAGAATGTGGTATAACGTCCCCTTGACACAAACTAAGTCATTTCGGAACAAACATATGGTTCAATATGCTATTGTCACGTACAAGCCAGAATGACAGACCTTATGATATAAAGCGAACGCTGTTATTGAATTCATATGTTAGAAACGAACCAGGATCTGCCACAGGCCAAGTTTAAAACAGTCATCTCCATTTGTTATAATGGACACTGGCATATATAATTTATGATAATGAATGTACTGATTAATCAATAATAGATAAAACCAAGATACAACCTAGGACTGCGTCACTATTGCCCTAAAGAGGTTATGTGACAAAGGGACCATGGAAATTTCATTATTTACATAAAATGAAATGAAATGGGGTTTAACATCCTACTGTTCTGCTCCGAACTGGCCTAATGAAGGCGAGCATATGCTATACAGTGTGGTATGAGAGAAATTTCGCCCAGACACAGAAAGGCACTACGGTCTACTCTTATATCGAATTCCAACTGCCAAGATATCATTAACGTGCACGCCAATGTGTACACGGGACCTAGTGTTTCATCCCATCAGAAAGAATATTGCCTGGCCCTCAGTCCTGCACCACTGACACGTCGAAAAATCCTGAATAACTTTCTTGGCCAACGCAGGAGATCAAACACGGTACCTCCAGGTTAGTGAGCCAACATCGTACTCACTGGGTGGGGGGGGTGGATGGCCGAATGGTTAGCACGTGCGTGCTGTATTATAAGGCCTGTCATTGAATTAACTGGCGTGGTTTCGAATCCCCGGTTGTACGGTACAAGGAGTAGGGTTGCCTGTCCAACCTCGTGGGTTTTTTCTGGGTCCTCCGGTTTGCTCCCACTGCTAAAGACCCCTACGCGCAAGCGAATCATTGAAATAAAATTAAACCATATGTTAGTCCCGAAATGACCAAGTTTGCGTCGAGTGGACGTTAAACCCCATTTCTCTCTCTCTCTTGTACTCACTGAACCACTGTGGCTCCCAGAAATAAAGGCAAGAGAGTATCCTCAACATTGCAATTTTGCATAGTAAGAAATTCAGTAATTGTGTATCCTCAAAATTGTATCTGGTTTCAAATTCTCAATTACATGAATTTTAACGTGTAATTTATATAGTTATCATATTCCTTCTCTCTGAATTCATCTTTACAATGACAGTGGACATGTGTCTCTCTGAATTCATCTTTACAATGTCAGTGGACATGTATGGTGTTTTAGTGGTGTTTCGTTATTGAACTGGAAATACAGACACAATTCTATGGAATACAATGTTTATTACTCAGCAACTTTTCTACTTGAATTTTCTAGTCTTAAGTGTTTATATCATGGGGATACAATTATAAAAAAAATGATGGCACATCATATTATACATGTACGTGTAAACAACAATAACTTAGTTAATGCCGCGGTTTACCAAAATTGAAGAGTAGGCATTTCGGTAGTTCACTGGCATCACATTAAGAAATTGAGATTGTTATAGTATATTAATGTGTTATATGTATATAAAGCTGACTGATATAGTTATTGCACCTGGGGCCTGATAAAATCCAAATTTTAGTAGTTTAATTGGATAATATTAGATTGATTTTAGTGCTTAGCAAATGAAAATTGAAGTATCTACTAAAATTTGGATTTTATCTTTAGTTAAAATTTTGTGAAACAGGGCCCTGAGTGTTATAGTGAAATCCCAGTGTATATATATTTAAACAGAAACATAGTGTAATTTATAGCTAAGACTGATGTTATTATTATATTGTGGATAATATAATTAATTATTGATCATGTTCTTAATGATTTTATAGTCTCAGTAATATAACACTTAACTAAAACAGAACATCTTCTTTATTTTGTACACTGTGTTGTGGCCATACATTGTCTTTATTATACACTTGTGGCAACAATTATAGGATTATTATCTGATTTTAAATTTTCGTAGAATCTTGATTTAAAAGAAATATAAAATAAGGTTTTTGGTACTTTTTCAAATTTGTTCAAATAAGTAGCTCAGGCATATGAGGCTAGAGCCTCTGTTAAAAAAAAGGCAACTGGTCCAAAACGCTCAATAAAGTTTCACCAAATTTGTTATGTATCTTGCTTGGGTGGTGCCTGTTCTAATTTGTTGCTTTGGTCCACAGGGGAAATTTAGGAAATAATTTGTACCATTTCAAAGCTACCTGAAATATATGCAGAAATATATTGAGAGCCAAGGCAAAGAAAAACTAAAAGATAATTTTAAAGTTGAACAGTTACTTTTATTAGAATTGTGACGAAACACATTTATGTGATTTATAATACTTAGGTAATTTAAATGTCTTATCACAGTGTTCACATTTGATTCGTTGTCCATTATTATGTGTAGTCATGTGACATGCTAGATAGCGTTTCTGTGTGAACATCATACCACACTGTGTACATTCAAACTTCTTCGACTCAATGTGAATTTTTAAATGGTCTGCCAGATAACTTTTCTCTTTATAGGATGAACCACAGTAAATACATAAAAAGCGCTCCGCTTCGGTTTTCTTCGGACCATGGACACGTAACAAATGAACCTTTAAATAACGTTTTTGGGTAAACTCTGAATTGCACTCGGGACACACAAATTTTGAGCTATGACCTTGAAGGTGACTATATAAATATCGTTTCTCTTTAAAAGATTTATTACAATCTGGACAGTTAATTCTCGTTTTCTTCTCATGAGTCTTCAGATGTGCATCAAGGTAACGCTTACAAGAGAAAATATGGTTGCATTCAGAACACTTATAATTTTTTCCACTGACATGAGTCTTTACATGTTCTTTTAGATATCTTTTTGTTTTGAAAACTTTTCCACACAGATTGCATGTCAATCTATCATTGTTATCAGTTTTAGTTGTTTTTACTATGTTATTTTTCGTCTCTGTTATTGGTTTTGATTTTAAAAGTGATGAAGCCGTGTTGATAATGTCCTCGCTGTGGATTACGTCTAGTTCAACAACATCCTCTTCATCTTCAATCACACGACTTTCATCACAGGAAAACTGATCGGTAAAATCACTACATTGTAAATCTATATCACTTGCATCGTTCTCAACCTCTTCTATCTCTGCAACAGTCAGTGACATTACACTTATGTTGTCAACCATCTTTGTATGGAATTCTTTATATTCCTCCCTTGTTCTGGCCACAGTCTGCAAAAACAAAAAGTACAGTCATGGAATTGGGTTCAAGGTCTTATCAAAACAATACTTTGGTCATTTTGGGACCAACATGTGATAAATTTCACCTGGACATTCGCATTTCAACCTACTCTTCTTTAAATTCCACTGCTAATATGTTCATTGGTGGACCTATGTTTTTATCTCACTGGAAGGATTAGTCACACTTTCCTTGTCAATCCCACAGAATCCACCTTAATGACAAATGAGAGCTGGGCTTCAATCAAGCAGTAATTGAACCTGAGCCCTTCTGAAAATTTCCCTCATAGCACACTGTATGGCGTATGCCCGTCTTCATTAGCCCAGTAAAGGAGCAGAACAGTAGGACGTTAAACCCCATTTCATTTCATTTCATTTTTGTCACCTTCTCAATTTCATAATAACCTGCAACAGGCCATGGCTAACTGTATATGATTGTGATGCTTATGAAATGAAATGAAATGAAATGGAGTTTAACGTCCTACTGTTCTGCTCCTAACCTGGGCTAATGAAGACGGGCATACGCCATACAGTGTGCTATGAGGGAAATTTTGCCCGGACAGCGGCACTACGGCCTACTCTTATATCGAATTCCAACTGCCAGGGGATCTTTTACGTGCATTCCAATATATACACGGGGCCTCGGTTTTTCGTATCATCCGAAGGACTAGACAGCTGTCCTTGTCAGGCCCTCCGTTCTGCACCACTGACAAGGAGAAACCACGTCGGAAAATCCTGATGAACTTTCTCGGCCAGCGAGATAACGCGCCTCATGGAACTATTTCTATGACGCGTCTAATCAATGACGTCACATATTTTTGAGGTCAATGAAAATAATTCTCACACTTTTTTTTTCTTTTTTTAAAAACAAAATTAATGTATACAATTTAGATCTATTAAATAAAAATAAATTTGGAAAAACTAAATTATTTAACATTTTTTGTATCACTTGAGAAAATTAATTATGAAGGTTTTATATTTGACAATAATCAGCTTCGCTCTACTCAGGCAATGTCTGTTACATATTATTGAATTAGAGTTTAGTAGATCCTTTAAAATACCTACGATTTACTCTATTAGTAGCCCTACTAAATGGTGAAGGTTTTATATTTGACAACAATCAGCTTCGCTCTACTCAGGCAATGTCTGTTACATATTATTGAATTAGAGGTTTAGTAGATCCTTTAAAATACCTACGATTTACTCTATTAGTAGCCCTACTAAATGGTCATCTGCCATTACTTATTAGAAATAGTATTACGACCAATGTCATTAAAATGATTAATACAACGGACAATTTGTTTTGTTTACAAATCAGTGTATATCCTAAGAGGAAGTAACTCTAACAGAAAAATGTCAGCACGTCACTTTTTGAAAATTGCGGATTGACTACGTAACTATAAATCACTATTAAGGTTAATTTAAGGTTAATCTCAAAATTCAAACGTTTACCAGGTTAATTTCATTGGTCACCAACTTTTATTAGGCATCCATACTTACAGAAAATAAATATTTCACTTAGATACTCATAATCAAACATTCACCAAGAAAAGATAATTATGTAGAGTACTTAAATTTATATAATTTCTCTTTTGTTTTTTTTTTTGTTGTTTTAAAAAAAGGACGAGAAACTCCCCAAATTATCAAAAATTCGTTAAATGACTCCCCCCCCACACACACACACACACACACAAAAGAAACAAACAAAAAATCAAAATTCTAATCTGACTCTATAAATATCTCGGGAAGGGATTGTTGTACATGGACGGGCTATACGGACAATGGCCGCTCGGTAAAAAATGGGGCGTTGGGATAGATAAAAATAGTGCCGAAAATCAGTTACCGGTAATGGGCCGACTCTGCAGGGTAAGGATGCGCTTGTCAGATCTGTCACCAAAAATTTAACTTTAAATCGAAAATTATTACCGACAGGTGAAGACGGGCGAATTAAAAAATAAACACCCCAAAGCCTTCCACCAAAATAAAACAAGTGAAACAAGCACAATTGCAAACATCTCAAGAATGGCCCCGTCCAAAGATTTTGTTATAATTTTAAATAATTCTTCCTCTCCAATTCATGTTGACGCATGCTTTATTTGCCCGTTAACCTACCCATACAATTTAGTCTTGGATTGAGGCCCCTTCATTAGTGACGGTACGTCTTGTCTTTCGGATGGGCAAAGAAACGAAGGTCCCGTGTACACGTTGGCATGTACACCGTATTTTCATAAGTCTTTGAAAACTTTGGCTTTGCTCGAGAAATCGTAGGATCTAATACACGTATCTTCAAATATGTTTATCGACAATAAATATCTTCTAATATCTTTAATTCACATCTCCTAATATATGCGTATTGACAGTAAACAACTTCTGACATGTTTATCAGTAACAAACATCAACAATAAAAATCTTAAAATAGGTATATATGTATAAACTATTCAACATATATAAATAAGTCACTGTATATCGCCATCGGTAATACAGGTCGCCTGCATGTAGGGGGTTATAAAAATTGGTGGAAGTTGGTCAATCGTAAATCTTATCACCGTATTATTAATCCGATGTAAGGTAAAAATGTCACACAGACCACCCCACCACCACCGCCATACTCACAAAAAAGAAAATGGGTTTGAGTTTACCAATGAGGTAAAATAGTTCCCTCAAGTAGGGAAATAGTCATTTTATTTGGGAAAAAGGGTGGGGGGGAGGGGACTTGTTTTATTTTGGTGGAAGGCTTTGGGGTGTTTATTTTTTAATTCGCCCGTCTTCACCTGTCGGTAATAATTTTCGATTTAAAGTTAAATTTTTGGTGACAGATCTGACAAGCGCATCCTTACCCTGCAGAGTCGGCCCATTACCGGTAACTGATTTTCGGCACTATTTTTATCTATCCCAACGCCCCATTTTTTACCGAGCGGCCATTGTCCGTATAGCCCGTCCATGTACAACAATCCCTTCCCGAGATATTTATAGAGTCAGATTAGAATTTTGATTTTTTGTTTGTTTCTTTTGTGTGTGTGGGGGGGGGGGAGTCATTTAACGAATTTTTGATAATTTGGGGAGTTTCTCGTCCTTTTTTTAAAAAAACAAAAAAAAAAACAAAAGAGAAATTATATAAATTTAAGTACTCTACATAATTATCTTTTCTTGGTGAATGTTTGATTATGAGTATCTAAGTGAAATATTTATTTTCTGTAAGTATGGATGCCTAATAAAAGTTGGAATTTATTGTGTATGCTCATCTAAATTCTCGCCGTAGTTTTAGCAAAAGGTGTACCATTGTGACACTCTGTGGTCGCTCTGAGAGTTGTAAAAAATACATCGTTAGAGGAGGTGTGGCTCTATTCTTAGAAACTTTAATATGTATGGAAATTGGAAATGTGTCTAAAAGCACATATTAATGTAATATGGATGAAGATATATAAAATGAATTATATTCAATTTTGTTTTTTTTGTTTTTAAATATTGTAATTTCTAATCAAATTGAACGACAGTCGATTGCGTCTGCTTACTGCATTCTACACGTTTTTTAATTATTATTTTGTCGTTTGTGAATCAGCCATTACTCATTATTTTCGCAATTTCTTGTAGGATACGTTTGCCTTTGTTTATTACAAATGGCGCCCATTCTACGTTTTTTTTGTTATTTTTACTATTTTGTCGTCTGTGGATCAACCATTTTTATTTACTTCCGCGTTTGTCTTAGAGGATGCCGGTAGGCCTATGTTTTTCTTTGTTCGTTACAAAATAATTGTAACAATATGGATTGAAATGGACCAATATTGAATTCTAATTTGTGTTTTTATTTTCGAATTTTATTTAAAAATACTGAGTTAGAGGTTTTGCTCCTTTAAATTTAGTGGCTTTTAATTTTGAGTCGAATCATTAAACTTGCAGTTCCTTATATTGTTGTACTGGATTTTATATCAACGCAGTTTAGGTACACACTGGTGTCCGTGGTTTTATATTCATGCCTAATGGTTGAGAGATGGGGTTTCTAATCTAGTACAACTGGGGAATCGAAACCACGCCAGTTGAGCTGACTCAATGACAGACCTTATGACACAACGCGCACGCGCTAACCATCCGCCCCACCCCACCCTCCTCTCGCCCCTCTTTGTAGCCGACTGTATAGAATGTTATTCCAGGTTCGTATACATTTATGTGTGCTCTCATGTAAAAGAATCATTGACAATTGGAATTAAACAAAGAGAAAGTGGAAACGCAACTGCCCAGGCAAAATTATCCCCCCTAGTATTGCACACTTGGTCATAGAAACAATTGCACCCGCACGTTTGTCTAAAAATATCTGCTAAACTTTATTCCTTTCAGATTCACATAAACTTTAATTGTGCTTGTATACTGTAGCTATATCGAGTTACATATGGGTACTTTCAAGCGAGCAATCTGAGAACTTGAGTCACTTGCCTCTCGACTGGAATATTCCGGTTTTGAATCCCGGCATGGACCGAGAAGAACCTTTGGGGTTGCTGCACTGCGAACGAGACAAGGAAGGCGTGTCTAGTCGTTCGTATGAGACGAAAAACAGGTCCATCCGTGGCGTGTACATCGGCATGCACGTAAAAAATCGAAGACGTCACTGTTCAACCTCGCATTGCACACGTACGTAACCTATAGAAAAAAAGACCATGCGCTTTTCTCTAAATGGCCAGCGAATTCTGTTGACGAGACATTAATTTATGATTATGGAATGAAATATATGGGGTTCTGGGTTAACAAAGACTCGCAAATGCCACACAGTGTGCTGTGGGGAACATTTTTTTCCGAACAGCGGCGCGACGACCTACTCTTATTTCGAATTTGAACTGTCAAGGAATCTTTTTCGTGCACGCCAATAAGTACGCCAGACCTTGGGGTTTTTTTTGTAACCATCCGAAGGACTAGACTGCCCTTGCCAAGCCCCCCCCCCCGCCTCCTCCGCATCCTGCACCATGTTGACAAGGCAAACCACACAGAGACATTAAACCATTAATATAATAGACCTACATCCATTATAATATCTATAGTTTAAATCACCCCGTATCACCTCTACAACCCGTGTTTGTATAGAAAATCGTTGGCCTATTCACAAAGTTTGCATATATTTTTCATAAGTAATATATATCCTCCCACTGCTAAAGACCCCTACGCGCAAGCGAATAATGGAAATAAAATTGAACCATATGTTAGTCCCGAAATGACCTAGTTTGTGTCGAGTGGACATTAAACCCATCTCTCTCTCTCTCTCTCTCTCTTCTCTCTCTCTCTCTCTCTCTCATAAGTTATACCAGTGAGTTAAATATCGATGCAGTTTTATCCCATTTATTGTTCATTCTTACACAGCAGCTAATTCTTATCAAAACTAGCTTTCTCTCGTTATGAAACAAATAATTTAGTGAAAAGCTTCTTTTTCTTTTTTTTTCTTTTTTTCTTTTTTTCAATTTTTCTTTTGTTTTTGTATCCGGTTTTTTCTGCCAGGATCCGCCTATGACTGAAACACGTTCTGTAATTCATTGGTCAATCCGTATAACAGTGGTTTCCGGTTAATTCAGCAATTCGACAGAAAATCGAGGTCGCTGTGGTTGTTACAAGTGGAGTACACAATACAATTAACATTTCTTAGATTGGCACAGAAACCCACAGAAATATGGCTGACAGTCAGGCGACGGCAGCGGCTTCCACTGTTCAGCCATGGTCTAATAACAAAGATGATTATGAACTGCATAATGTGCTGGGAGCTGGGGCAACGGCTGTTGTCCAGGCTGCGACATGCAAACCCAGAAACGAAAAGTGTGCTATAAAACGGATTAACCTTGAGAAATGTAATACCACAGTGGAAGAATTGCTGAAAGAAATACAAGCTATGAGCCAGTGTAAACATGAAAACGTTGTGGGCTATCATACATCTTTTGTAGTGAAGGAGGAGTTATGGGTGATTATGAAATTATGTAGCGGAGGGTCCATGCTGGATATCATCAAAAACCGCATGAGATCTGGCAACAATAAAAATGGTGTTCTCGATGAAGTCAGTATTGCCACAATTTTAAAAGAAGTCCTCAAGGGATTGGAGTATTTTCATAGCAATGGTCAAATTCACAGAGATATTAAAGCAGGAAATATTTTACTTGGAGAGGAGGGATCTGTATATATCGCTGATTTTGGTGTCAGCGCATGGTTGGCCACTGGTAAAGATATAACAAGGGATTCCGTCCGCCATACTTTTGTCGGAACACCATGTTGGATGGCACCGGAAGTTATGGAACAAGTTTCTGGATATGACTTTAAAGCTGATATTTGGTCATTAGGAATAACGGCAATAGAACTGGCGACAGGTACTGCTCCCTATCATAAGTATCCACCTATGAAGGTCCTTATGCTGACCTTACAGAATGAGCCCCCGACCCTAGATTCCGGAGCAGACGAAAGGGATCAGTACAAATCATACAGTAAAGTATTTAGGAAAATGTTATCTGAATGTTTGAGGAAAGAACCTGACAAGAGACCAACTGCCAAGCAACTTTTGAAAAATGAATTCTTCAAAAAGGCCAAAGATAAAAACTATATCTACAAAACTCTTCTGTCAGACGGCATGCCATTAAAATCACAGAAAGTGAAGAGAGTTCCCGGTTCAAGTGGACGTCTTCATAAAACTAGAGATGGTGGTTGGGAGTGGTCAGATGACGAACTTGATGAAAATTCAGAAGAAGGAAAACTGGCAGTGACGTCGGAGCGGTCACCGAGACTCAAACCAACAGCTGAAGAATTGTCATTGCCTAGCTCAGAAAACATCCCAATAGATGGTAATCCACCATCATCAGAGCAACCGCCAGTGGCCAGTCCTGTTCCTGCAAATGATCAAGCACCAGCAAGCAGTGTGCCGGCAGATGATCCACCTGCAAAAGAAGAAGCGGAGAAAGCTGCTACAAGTCAGACTGGATCTATAAACCTTGTCTTGAGATTACGGAATGAGAAGAAGGAGTTGAATGACATCAAGTTTGATTTTACTCATGGCCAAGATACGGCTGATAGCGTGTCACGAGAATTAGTGGAAGCTGGTTTAGTTAATGGTAAAGATTTGGTGGTGGTTGCTGCTAACTTACAGAAGATTTTGGACGGCAAGGAGCGAACGAAAACTTTTGGTTTAAATTCTGGTTGTGACGTGAACGAGGTACCATGTGACAAGGCTCTAATAGGTTTCGCCCAGCTTTCATTTAATGATGATAAAATTTCACCCAGTTAGCTTCAAACATCTTACAGTTGTAGCAGGCAGACTAAAGTAATATAAAATTTATTTCAAAATAAGCATAGTTTATGTGGCATAGAAACATTGATCCACAGAGAAAGAATTACATGTATTTGTTAGAATCACCGAGAAAGAATTACATGTACATTTGTATTTGTTAAAATGACAGAGAAAGAATTAGTTATTACATGTATTTGTTAGAAATATTGTTTTTAATTGCAGGAATATTTTGCTCGATATTATAACATTATTATATTGTGTATGGTATAAAAGATGTTGAATGTAATGAGCATATTTAGACTTGTAATGTCACTACTTTCCTGAAAAAAAATACTTACAAAATAATTTATTGTAGGGTCTTGTGTACACAAATTTTTATCCAACTGCAAATACAAACTTTGAAAATATTTGTATGATTTATATTTATATACACAAGGCCCTAAGGTATAAATTATATATAGTATATGGTACATGTATATATAACTTAGTAAAATTGCAAATGACCTGACCTCTTTGATTTGGGAACAGTAGGATGTTAACCCCATTTCTTTAATTTGGGTAAAGAAAAATAAAAGTGATGGGTTTAATTAAATTTAATAGTTTAATGAAGTTGGTAGCTGTGTACATTTTAGAATTTTAGATCCGCAGATAGTCTTTCGAACAAAAATTTAATCATTTAGATTTTGTCACATGATTAATTAGAATTACACATCAGATCAACACAATCCATTACTGTTACTTTATTTGGAACCAAATCAAAGAGGTTTGACTCCTTCAAAGTATTGTGAATGCCAGGCTTAATTGATTTATTATATTAAGTACCAATAGGCTGTCTATATTAACAAATGATTCTATTTTCTGGGGCTACTTCCAATACTGTTACAGTTTAGATGATCCTAGATGTAGAACAAATTAAATCAAAAAGGCCTAGTTAGACCCTTTAAAGTTCTCTTTCAAGTGACAAAATCCTTACTACACGTCCAAAACAGCTAATCATATCATGTGCATGAATGGTTGCATACGTGTCTTTGTACCATATGTTAGTCCTGAGTTGAACTTAATCCTATCATGGGTAGTAATATGTTACGGACAATGTTTCTACCAAAAGGCAGCAGTTGTGATTTGGGTAAGTCTCTTTCACCTATAGCACGCTACTTTAATAGAAAGTAGGAGGCATGGTAGCAGGGCAATGGACTGCATTGGACTCCCGACTATAATTTCCCTGGTTCAAAACCTGGCCTTCAGATAGCAAGGTTGGTGACAGCAGGGTCTAGTGTGCCTGTTCGTTTACACACTGATATGTGTGTAAAATAACCCATGACAGTTAGAAATCAACAAGGAGTAGGCGCAAACATCGCAGTCAAGGGAATGTAACCATAGAAATCATGATCACTATATTTTTGTCTCATAAAGTATTGAATTGACAAGACAATAATCCCCATTCCACTCCATTGAAAGCATGGCATTTTCACTTTAAGTTCCAACAATCATACTACAAACCATCCCTTTAATTCAAACCAACCTATTATGGGTGCATGCCAAGCCATTAAATCACAACCATGATACCATCAACACAAGTGTCACCCTAGTAATAAACTGGATGTATGTTAATAATTAGGTCGACCAACAATATATTTATATACCAAACCAATGGACAATAGAACATGAACTTTTTATATTAAATATACCAACAGTAAGCCTGAAGGTTACATGAATATAGAAAAACTACCCAAATGGAATGTAATATTTTACTTGTGTATACTTGACTGACTAAAAAATATATTATGGTTTCATTGTTATAATAACTCTTTGAGCAAGTCATCTGTCACTGTGCTGTATAAATTGTATTTGTCAGTGGGTCTGTTTGGTTTAGATTAACATGTTCAGTTTATTGCTTAGATAAACTAAAATGTGAGATATGGGATTAAGGAAATAAAATTTGTTGAATTTAGATATGATGTGTTAAGTCTTAAATAAATCACACATAGTCTTCAATACTTTTGAGTCGAGGAAAAATATGTTTTATTTTTAAAATAATTTTTTAAAAAAAAGAATTCTTAATTTCCTTGACACCATGCAGTATGTTCTTTCCTTTCATGTTGCATTTTATTTGTTTATAATAATTTCCTGGATATGTTATGTAGGTTGACTGGTTGAATCATTCTCAAAAGAAGTTTTAATTGTCAGATGTGGTTTGTTGTAGAGGTAGACTGATGTTTTAGCTACAGAGGTTAAAGGTGCTAATACATGTATGAACTAACCAATTGTTGTTAGGTTTAAATACCTCTGTGGTGGAAACGTCGTATATATTTCAATATTTGTTATAGAACTTGATTTTATCTGATTAGCGACTTTGAAATTTGTATCATCAAATATCATCATAACCAAAATATTTATGTGACCTAGATTTGTTATTTATATAATCATACAATAAATAGACTCGGCCTAATATTTTGTCATTTTGCCATTTATTATCTTAATGATATTAAAGTAATTTCTCTTGTACTACAGAATAAGTTTTATTATTTGAACAAGAAAAAAAATCCAGGAGCTTTGATCAAGATGAGAACTTACTGGTATAGGGCCTGTCCGGTATTAAATCTAAATTTATTTCCTTTCTAGTTACATAATAAGAAATCTTAAAATAAAATATTTTAAGAATGTAGCCATTTCATTAATAATCAAGATCCAAAATTCAAGCTATGATTTTAGTGCTCCACCAATGGGCTATCAGTATTCTTAAAATATTTTAGTTCAAGTTTAGTTCATGAATAAGGTCCCAGGCCCCAAGTTCACAAAGCATTCTCAGACTTAAGTTAAGAATTAACTCAACTTTCAATCACTGTTCATGAGAAATATCTTTGATCCAGATACACACAACTTTGCATATAGTTTCTTATTGATGTATTTGATACATTAAAACAACAAATGTATATTTTGAGTAAATTCTTATCTAAAGTCTGAGAATGCTTTAATACCTCTGGGCCAGGTTTCAGATGGTACCAGGACTTGAAAGAATCAACTAATTGTTTTATAATATATAAACAGTATTGTAATGTAGTGTAATGTGTTGTATTATGTTGAAGTTTATGATATAATTGTAATATGATGTTCATCATGGTAATTGTTTATCATGTACCAATTATTTCATCCTTTACCTATTTATAGCAAACAGGGTAGTAGATTGGTAGACAGTCTGTCTCCTACAGCCTTTAATTGTTGGGTTGATTGAAGGATGTATAAGCTGTCATGACAGGGTGTGCTCCCAAACTCAAACATCAAATGTGTTTTTTTATAAACAAAATTTTTTTTTTGTTTTTTGGGTTTTTCTTTTAATTCAAATAGTTTTATCTCGAACAATAACATATTGTGCATTGCACATTTTGTCATTTAACAATATGCTCCCTTGACGTCAATTAGTCTTCGAGTGTAACATGAAATTATTATTTTTTACATCTGAAAAATAAAATTAAAGACTGAAAGCTCACTAAAAATAGGAAAGAAATCCTTGCCCTTTAACCACATGTTGTGTTTGTCAAAGGTCACAGCTAGTTGTTGAACACAGGGACAGATAGACCATGAGGCTATGGTGCAGTATATGGTTGTCACCTTCATCTAGCCTCATGGTCTATCTGTTCCTGTGTTCAACAACTAGCTGTGACCTTTGACAAACACAACATGTGGTTAAAGGGCTAGGATTTCTTTCCAATCCATGGTTATGCAAGTAAGACCATGAATATCAAGAGAAGATATCTTTAAGTGATAAAAGTATGAAGTAACACAATGTTACAGATAGAGAAAATATTACAATCTATCCACTCACACAGGTCATTAACATCTGCAATGAACAGGGTTTATTTTCTTCATATTTAGCGCTAAGGCAACACTAGTTTGATTTTTAATTCTGTATAATCTTGATGAATAGCCTCATATGAATTATGTTTGGGGGGGGGGGGGGGTGTTAGTGTGGTGGGGGGTAATTTTTGAAAAGTTTAAAATTTGAAGCCAAGTGTATTTTTGGTTATAGATTTTTCTTTTCCTTGGAAAAATAAGGAAGCAAAATTTGAAAAGTTGTTCCCAAAGAATTAAAGCTTGTTTGGCCTAAAGAGTAGCGAAATAATTTTGTTCTGATATTAATTGGTGTCTAAAATAGAGATATATTTGTTATGTGTTTTAAAATGTAAACCATACTATATATTATATGTAACAGGAAAGGTTTTGTAAGATATTTGATTTCGTATTATGGTTAATGAGGGGCCTGGTATTTGAGCCAGACAATGTCCTGCTGGCATTGAAAATATCTGTACATGTATATAGGTTATAGTGAGTAATTGATTTATGGAGATATAACATCCTTTAATAAAAATGGGATGGCTAGGCTGCTCAAATATTTAGTGATATTTATCAAATAAAATAAAACTGGCATGCTTCAAATTGCTTTTAAAGCAAAACTAAATGGACAAGATATTTAGTTTTAGAAAAAATATTTACTATTTTCAATGAATAGTTGGTGCCATACCAGCATATATTTTATATGTTTTATTAAGAAGGATAGAATCTATATAAGAAAACTGATTAGCACAAATCTAATCTTGTTAAATAATTCTGAAATGGTTGTTTTGTTTTGTGTTAAAATGGTAAAAACGTATTGTATTTTTAAAAGTTATTTCCCCCTGTATGTGGTGTTTTGTTGATTACCAGAACTAATGACGTCATATTCTTATATCCTTACAATCATGACAGATGTTAAATCGACAAATACATAAAAAGTATATCAGGATGATTAGACAAATTAGTTTTAATTAAAGTATAAAATGTAATAGTCTCTTTAATTTGATAACAAAGAATTCTGTTTTATAGACCCATATGGGTAAAGGGCATTATACAGGAACACCAATACTATGAGTATATACGTACAATAAACAGTTATCTGAACTTCCCAGGATTAACATGGAGAGATAATCTACTAATTAATTGTATTGAAAATGTTCCAATGACATAGTAATGGAAATACACAGGACACAATTTTATGGAATACAATTACTTGAGCAACATTTAGTAATTGATCTGAGACACACAGTACCCAATTTTATGGAATATCATTACTTGATCAAAATTTAGTAATTGAACTGGAGATAGAGTAAACAGTTCTATGGAATACAATTACTGTAATGGTATTCAGTATAAATGTGGCCTGTGTAATATCATAATTAAAGATGACATGTTATTGAGTAAATTTGATTTTTTATTAAGAATGATGAATTTGTTTTGTATTTAATAAGATTGTTGTATTGTAATCCGGTACCTTATAAACTTATATAAAGGTTTGTTAAGCAGACACTACACCATTGTTGTTTTTATTGTCAGTGGGCGGACAGATGCTTTGGGATTGGAAACCCAGCCCCCTCCTTAGCCGGATGGTTGGATGGTGAATGGTTAGCAGGTGCACGCTGTATCATAAGGTCTGTCATTGAGTCAACTGGCGTGGTTTCGATTCCCCTGTTGTACGTGACAAGGAGTAGGGTCGCCTGTCCAACCTTGTGGGTTTTCTCCGGGCACTCTGGTTTCCTCTCACTGCTAAAGACCCCTATGTGCAAGCGAATTATTGAAATAAAATTGAACCATGTCTTAGTCCCGAAATGACCTAGCCATCTCTCTGTCTCTTTTTCTCCCTCTCTCTCTCTCCCCCTTCCTTCCTGACTTAAATATTGTACTGAGAAATGTGTGAAACAGGAGGGCATTTTAAATAATGTTAATATATGGAATTAACTTTTTAATCAAATCAAGTAAGACAGCTTGTGCACTTAAGTTATCAGAGGTAATTTTGAATTTCTAAAATATTAATTATACTTTAACTTTTGGATTGAAAGCCCAACTGAAATGGATGCCCGGGGCCACCATTGTCCACTCTGCGCACCACTGTTTATTGTAGATACACATAAAAAGAGTATATTGCTGTCACCTTTGTACAACAATCCGTCTACCCATAGTTAGATCCATTAACATTAGGAGGGTTGGAAGCCTTTTTATTTTCCCCAAAAACCTATGTTCGGAAATAAGGAAATCTGTAACTCATGACCAACCATCGAATATGCCTATGCTCTTCAGGGTTCAAAACACAGGTACTTGAAGCCCAGTTCGGAGCAAAACAGTAGGACTTTAAACCCCATTTCATTTCATTTCACAGGTACTTGAAGGGGTTAAAAGAAACTTCTTACTACTGCTTGACTATAATATTTAGTAAGAAGTTTGGGATCACGGTGGCTAAGTGGGTAAGACGCTGGCTCGCTAGCCTGGAGGTCGGGTGTTCGATCCCTGCATTGGCCGAGAAAGTTCATGCAGATTTTCTGGCGTGGTTTCCCCTTGTCAGTGATGCAGGACGGAGAGCCTGACAAGGACAGCTGTCTAGTCGTGTGGTTGCGACGAAATACCAAAGTCCCATGTACACATTGGTGTGCCCGTAAAAGATCCCTTGGAATTTGATATAAAAGTAGGCTGTAGTGCCACTGCCCGGGCAAAATTTTCCTCATCGCACACTGTATGGCGTATGCCCGTTTTCATTAGCCCAGTTTAGGAGTAGGACGTTAAACCCCATTTCATTTCATTTCATTTAGTAAGAAGTTTTATTTTAATCCCTTCGAGTGCCTGTGGTTTAAAAATAAAGTTACGAATTGAAATGGGGTTTAAGGTCTTCGGAAATGAAAAACAGTAGGATATTAGCCCCAATAATGAAAGAAATTTTGTTTTTCGAACTCGAACCAGCTGGCACTTTTTATTTAACTTCTGTGGCCAAAATGTTGGGCAAACAGTTTCAGGGTAATACGGATCCGGTAATACAAGCACGAATGACGTGATGGATAGATGCAGTTTAAATGATCGACTATAATATACGTCCTTATTGTTAAAATTTTTTGGGCGTTCTGACTCATGAAGTCAACTGGCAAACTATCTCCATTCAGCAGACGACTATCGTCTTTCTTGTAAATCATAATTTTTTTTTAAAAAAATTCATTTTGAATGAATCATTACAGACCTGGGACTGTACAGCGCAGTTGACGTTTATGCCTGGCCCTTCGGAACCATTCACTTGATTTGATATTTGATTTATGTAATGACTACGTAGTTTGTCTTGTCCGCATGTTTGTCCTGTCAGGGGATGTTGGATGGCCGAATGGTTAGCGCGTGCAGGTTGTATCATAAGGTCTGTCATTGAGTCAACTGACGTGATAAGGAATAGGGTCACCTGTCCAACCTCGTGGAATTTCTCCTGGTACTCCGGTTTCCTACGACTGCTGAAAACCCCTATGCGAATTACTGAAATAAAATTGAACCATATGTCAGTCCCAAAATTACCTAGCCATCTCTCTCTTTTTCTCTCTCTCTCTCCCTCCCTCCCTGACTTAAATATTGTACTGAGAAATGTGTCGAGTGGACGTTAAACCCCATTTCTCTCTCTCTCTCTCTTCTTGTCAGTTTTGTTTTGGGCGTGGTGCGTGCGGTACTCCTGCACTTATACTATCAGGGGTCATATCGATAAAGCGTATACAATAGCAATGAATTTTAATAACACGTGAATTTGACTGGACATTGCCTAGATACTTATTAGCTACATAGATATGTTGTCAACTTCAAATACCAAATCATGAAATTCTTTCTTTTACTGTTTGCTCGATACGTTTCTACAGTTATTTCTTAATGGAGTGAATGGTATTTATACTTCTTTAGAAAGTGCCTATACATACATTCACCCAAACGTTATATAATAACACCATTAAGGGTATTATAGTGAATCTGTTATTGAATGATCTAAGCAATATTCAATCATAATTGAATAGCTATACCTGTACAGTGAACAATGGTCCCACATATCGTTGCCAAGCGCCGCCATTAAGTCCATGTGTTTGTAAATATTTCCTGTGTTGAGTGGATGGACTTGATATAAAATAGTCTGGAGTAGTTTAAGTTTTAAGGACCATGGACAATCAACCTAAAATGGAACCTGATGCTGAAATAAGAGTTAAAAAGATGTCGCTTCCAGCCAGACCAAAGTCGTCAGAAGAACTTGTGGCACCACATCCAGGCGGACGACGTTCATCTGTAGACGTAAGACCGAACCAGTTGCCGTTAGACAAATTGCCGAGTGTCAAACCACCAGTAATCAGAGAACAGTTAGAAAAACCACCAGTAACCAGAGACCAGTTAGCAAAACCAGCTGTAACCAGAGACCAGTTAGCAAAACCACCAGTAACCAGAGAACAGTTAGCAAAACCACCAGTAACCAGAGAACAGTTAGCAAAACCACCAGTAACCAGAGAACAGTTAGCAAAATCAGCTGTAACCAGAGAACAGTTAGCAAAATCAGCTGTAACCAGAGAACAGTTAGCAAAATCAGCTGTAATCAGAGAACATTTAGCAACTATTCCAGGTAGCCCTGGAGAATATACAGAGGATAAAGATATAAGGCAGAGGGTTTCCCAACCCCCACCAGGAGCAACACCTATTGTTCTCCGATTACGGAACGAGAAAGGGGAGCTGAACATTATAAGGTTTGTGTTTATTGAGAGAGAGGACACAGTTGAAGCCGTAACCCAGGAATTGGTTGAAGTTGGATTAGTTCATACTAAAGACGGTGTCGTTATTTCAAACAACCTACGGAAGATTCTTGAAGATAAACCAAATTGTAAACACCGGGTGTTTTATCTGTATTCTGGTAGCCAGGAAGTGCAATGTGATACAAAGCTGATAGGATTCGCTAAACTATCTCTTGCTGACCCAGTAGCTGCCTTTACGTGATTATTGCAAATGTAGGAGCAAAACATTGGAATTTGATAACTAAAATGGTTCCACACGTACACATAGAATCTTAAAGGAATAACCATGTTCTCACGAATGACGCAATTGTTGTATAAAGTATGGTTACTACAAAACATTATGCTACTTCACAACTTTTTCCAAATTAAAGTATCTGAACGTCATTTAATGGTATTAGGAAACTACAGTGTGAAAGGCAAATCTCTAAAAGGGATGTCAGTTCCAAAAATGGTTCATTTGCGTTGAATTTTTACAAAGATATGAAGAATAATTGACAACATGTCAAATCTCGGTATCCTCTGTAGACGTTATAAATGGGATTTGGCCAAAAGCTAGTGCCAACTGTACCATTGTTTAATCCGACTGAATCCATCTGGGATATTAGCTACCGTTGATATTTTGATTGATTTCTTTGCTTTTAATTAATTGTTAAAGGGACAATAACACTCTTGCTGGCTTGACAGCTCCAGAAAATAAATAATAGCCTTATTCTAAGTATTAGATGTTTAAGTGTCCTACCTGTTGTGTAAATTATCCATTACATCCTATTTTACTTGTCCAGTGGGTTCGAAAATATTTTGAAATCCAAGTCACATTTGAAAAGGTTTACGTTAGGCTTTTCAAATCATTTAGTTGAATTTTTCCAATTTTTTAAATTAGGTGTGTTAAGATGAAATTTGTATCATCAATTAATTGGAATATTGTAAAATAGTACAATTTGTTGACCAGAATAAAGATTGGGACATACTATTCAGTTACAACAAGAGTGATATTGAGCCTTTAAATAATAAATCTGAGTATATGTTCTATAAACTAAAAATGAAGTATATAGATTTGTTTGTTTAAAGATGCGTAACAGCTAAATCCGCCAATTGCAGATCTTTTTTCTGGCTTCAAATTTTCAAATATTATACATGTATAAACTATTATTTAGTCTTAGTCTCGATTGTCAAACACCATTTTGTATTCTGATTTTACATTCCGACTTGTGTAAAAACTCTGCTAAATTTGAATATGCCCAGTACAGGTCACCAGGTCTAGTTCCTTATTGGGAAGTCCGTGTAGGACTAATATTAAATCAATGTTTTGTCATATTACGCTTCAGCAAAGGGAATATGAAACCAATAAGTAGACATAATATAGAAGGCAGCCGCACATGACACAGCACGTGGACATATGAAGGAGATAGGCACACATGTCCCCAGTAACTGGGCATTTAGAAGATAGGAACACATGACTGGGCAATTTAGCAGATAGGCACTTATGACACAACACGTGGGCATAATCTCGAAGATAGACGCAAATGACACAGAAGCACTCGGCAAACCTCAGCAGATTCCAGTACCCTACATCAAGCTAGATGTAGAGTAACGGAATCTGCCGAGGTTTGCCGAGTGAGTATAGAAGCAAGGCACACTGACTGTGAACTCGTGACATCAGTAACTTGACAATTTAGAAGATAGGCGCACATCACGTGTGTATAATCCAGAACATAGGCGTACATGCCAAAGTAATACGCTCGTTACA